GGATTTGACCATTATTGAACATTAATGAGGATATTTTATTGTTGACTTAGTGATCGTTTCTCTGAACAATTAGTATTACTCAAGTTTAAACGATGAAAAACAGTCATTGAAGCAGCAGAAAAAGGATCCATAAGTCGACAATTTGGAAATAAATGTCGCTCATTTCTTTTTCTTTTCAACATTCAATTGAACCAACAATATTAGAACAAAATAGTCGAATAGTAGAACTGTATGGATCGGACAAACATGTCACACTCAAGCTCGGGGCCTAAATTTGATTGCGATATCATTAATTTGGCTCAGATAGAATATAGATCAGGAGTCTCCAACCTGCAGCTCGGAGTTACCAGTAGACAGTGTTGGGAAGTTTACTTTTAAAATGTAATCCCCTACAGATTACAGATTACACACACCAAAATGTAGTTTGTAACGTAATCCATTAAATTACTTAAAGTGAGTAACGTAATCTGAATACTTTGGATTACTTGATTTGCCGTATTAAAAAAAATATTATTGATAGAAGAAGAGGAGACACGTCCACGCAGCATGATTTAGTCCTGTTAAATCCTGTTTTAGTCCTGGTTTAGACGTGGTTTAGATCTAGTTTAGACCTGGTTTTAGATCTGTTTTAGTCCTGGTTTAGTCCTGGTTTAGACCTGGTTTAGACCTGGTTTTAGACCTGGTTTAGTCCTGGTTTTAGACCTGTTTTACTCCTGTTTTAATCCTGGTTTAGTCCTGGTTTAGTCCTGGTTTTAGTCCTGGTTTAGACCTGGTTTTAGACCTGGTTTTAGTTTATCCTGTTTAGTCCTGGTTTAGTCCTGGTTTAGACCTGGTTTAGATCCTGGTTTTAGACCTGTTTTACTCCTGTTTTAATCCTGGTTTAGTCCTGGTTTAGTCCTGTTTTAGTCCTGGTTTTAGGTTTAGTCCTGGTTTTACTTTACCTGTTTACTCCTGGGTTTTATCCTGGTTTAGTCCTGGTTTAGACCTGTTTTAGTCCTGTTTTAATCCTGGTTTAGTCCTGGTTTAGACCTGGTTTTAGACCTGTTTTAGTCCTGTTTTATCCTGGTTTGATCCTGGTTTTAGTCCTGGTTTAGTCCTGTTTTATCTAGTTTTAGACCTGGTTCCGCAATGGAGTTTTTACTGAGAAAAAAAAAAAAAAGAAAAAAATATATACAGCCCAAAATGTGAAAACAGGAAAATACCGCCGTGTAATCCATTTATTTCAACAAAGTAACTGTAATCCAATTACCACTCACTGAAACAGTAACTGTAACTGAATACAGTTACTCATAATTTGTACTCTGATTACATAACTCCAGTACATGTAATCTGTTACTCCCCAACACTGTCTGTAGTTTAGGTTAAGTTGCTTTATTCGTATCCGTAGGTAAATTTGCTTTGCAGATTTAAGAGGCAGGTTCCACATTTCACATTTCACATTTCATTCATTCACAAAACACGTATAAAAACACAATTACAAAATAAAGTGTTAGAGCTCCAGTGCAGTGGTTTGTTCCATAAACATGTAGCTCTCCACCTCCTTCCAAGTCGCTCGCCAAGGGATTCCTGAATTACTCGTATTGTCCTGAATAAGTAAAATTTGATGAACTAAATGCGTTTTACTATTGTACATGTTTCATTCTGACGCTTAACTTTGTGCACTAATAAATATTCAGTGTTGGGAAGGTGACTTTTAAAACGTATTCCCCTACAGATTACAGATTAAATACACCAACATGTAGTTTGTAACATAATCCATTAAATTACTTAAAGTGAGTAATGTAATCTGAATACTTTGGATTACTTGATTTGCTGTAGAGACGTAAGATGTTTTATCTGATAAAAGAAAATGAAAAGCCCAGACTTTACTTAAACCGTATTAAAAATATTATTGATAGAAGACGAGGAGACACGGTCCATGCAGCATGATTTAGTCCTGTTAAATCCTGTTAAATTCTGTTTTAGTCCTGGTTTAAATCTGGTTTACCTGGTTTAGACCTGGTTTAGACTGGTTTAGTTTAGTCCTGGTTTAGATCCTGGTTTAGACCTGGTTTTTTAGTCCTGGTTTTAGACCTGGATTTAGTCCTGGTTTAGATTTAGTTTAGGTTTAGTCCTGGTTTAGACCTGGTTTTAGACCTGGTTTAGTCCTGGAGTTTAGACCTGGTTTTAGTCCTGGTTTTAGACCTGGTTTAGACCTGGTTTAGACCTTGGTTTTAGACCTGGTTTAGTCCTGGTTTAGACCTACTGGTTTAGACCTGGTTTTAGTCCTGGTTTAGACCTGGTTTAGATCTAGTTTAGACTTGGTTTAGACCTGGTTTTAGTCCTGGTTTTAGACCTGGTTTAGTTCCTGGTTTAGACCTGGTTTAGTTTACCTGGTTTAGACCTGGTTTTAGTCCTGGTTTAGACCTGGTTTAGATCTAGTTTAGACCTGTTTTAGACCTGGTTTTAGACCTGGTTTTAGACCTGGTTTACCTGGTTTTTAGTCCTGGTTTTAGACCTGGTTTAGACCTGGTTTTAGTCTAGTTTGTTTAGTCTAGTTTGTTCTGGATTCAATGTTTAAACAAAACTATTATTAAACATTTATTTATATAAGAAAAGGTTTAACATTACAGACAGTGTTGTGGAGTAACAGATTACATGTACTGGAGTAATCAGAGTACAAATTATGAGTAACTGTATTCAGTTACAGTTACTGTTTCAGTGAGTGGTAATTGGATTACAGTTACTTTGTTGAAATAAATGGATTACACAGAGGTGTTTTCCTGTTTTCATATTTCTGGGCTATTCAGTTTTTTTGTTGTTTTTTTTGTTTTGTTTTTTGCCGGATTCAAAACCAGATCTAAACCTGGTCTAAACTCGGTCTAAAACCAGGAATCTAAACCAGGAAGGTCTAAACCAGCAGGACTAAAGCAGGGACTAAACCTAAACCAGGGACTAAACAGGTCTAAACCAGGACTAAATCCAGGTCTAAACCAAGTCTAAATCCAGAACTAAACCAGGACTAAACCAGGATTTAACAGGACTTCTATCGTCTTCTATCAATAATATTTTTCATACGGTTCAGTAAAGACTCGGCCTTTTCATTTTCTTTTATCAGATAAAACTTCTTATGTGAAGATTTCTGAGTCTTTGCTTCTCTACAGCAAATCAAGTAATCCAAAGTAATCAGATTACATTACTCACTTTAAGTAATTTAATGGATTATGTTACAAACTACATTTTGGTGTGTGTAATCTGTAATCTGTAGGAGGATACATTTTAAAAGTCACCTTCAAAACACTGATTACATATCTCGAAAGAAGAGAAAACAAGTAAATTCCTCAATAAATATTTAGTTTGGCCCAAGACTTAGTCCCAGGTTTTAATTTTGTCTGTGAATTTGAGTTTGGAGAAAACAGGTCCATGAGATTGAGAGTTTAGTTTTTATGAAAAGCTCAGCAAACAGAAATGAATAAAGGCGAGCGAAAAGGAAAACAAAATCTTAAATTTAGAGATATCGTTTTAAATCTTCTTCTGTAGTTTAGTCACATAAATGTAAGAAATCACGTATCAAGTATCAGGTTTTCATATAAAAAATAAGGCGTTTTATGAGTAAAAATGGACAAACTTGACAATTTCTGACACATTCAAAACAAAAACATGAAAAAAAAAAAAATTTAAATGTCTTGCTTCTTTTTGTTGACATATTAAATACTAAAAAATACACAGAGGAGAATCTGGATACTTATTTAGTAGATCTGACTGAAGATTTGCCCAAAAAATTTCACCTCATTTTAAAATTTTTAAAAACTTTAAACCAACCAAACTTGGATTTAGACGTTAAAAAACTCTTTCAGTATGATTTATAAAAGTCTTATTAAGTCCAAAACAGCAAAATTTGGTGTGTGGGTGCAACTTTAAAGGCTGAACTTTACGTTTCTGTCAGAGGAAAAAAGAATTTGGAGAAAAAAGTCTTTAAAGTTGAAGATGAAACTAAATTTTAAAACATTTTTCAGTGAAGTTTGTGTGAGTTTAGAGCCCAAACTTGGTATTTGAGTAAACTAGATCTGACTGAAAATTTGCCCAAAAATTTCACCTCATTTTTAAAATTTTTAAAACTTTAACCAACCAAACTTGGATTTAGACATTAAAAAACTTCTTTCAGTATGATTTGTAAAAGTCTTATCAAGTCTAAAACTGCAAAATTTGGTGTGTGGGTGCAACTTTAAAGGCTGAACTTTACGTTTCTGTCAGAGGAAAAAGAATTTAGAGAAAAAAGTCTTTAAAGTTGAAGATTAAACAAAATTTTAAAACATTTTTCAGTGAAGTTTGCGTGTGTTTAGAGCCCAAACTTGGTATTTGAGTAAACCTAGATCTGACTGAAAATTTGCCTAAAAATTTCAAGTAATTTTTAAATTTTTAAAACTTTAATCAACCAAACTTGGATTTAGACATCAAAAAACTTTGTCAAATTTGTCTTATCAAGTCTAAAACTGGAAAATTTGGTGTGTGGGTGCAACTTTAAAGGCTGAACTTTACGTTTCTATCAGAGGAAAAAGCATTTGGAGAAAACGAAAACTAACTATTTGAGTAAACTAGATCCTGACTGAAAATTTGCCCAAAAAATTTGTCACCTCATTTTAAAATTTTTAAAACTTTAACCAACCAAACTTGGATTTAGACATCAAAAAACTCTTTCAGTATGATGTCAAATTTGTCTTATCAAGTCTAAAACTGGAAAATTTGGTGTGTGGTTGCAACTTTAAAGGCTGAACTTTACGGTTCTGTCAGCGGAAAAAGCATTTGGAGAAAACAAAAACTAAATTTTAAAACATCTTTCAGTGAAGTTTGTGTGTTTAGAGCCCAAACTGCCCAAAAACAAAAAATAATAACTACACAAAAACCTTTCTAAACTCTTTCTTCGTTCTGAGTTAAGGATGATTAAGCTGTTGTGTGGTTATTATAAAAGTTTGCAGCTTCGAGATTAAGATTTAAAGCGAAGTCCGAGTGTGTTTTCGTACCTGTGCTGTTTGCAGAGTCGGTGCTGCTGAAGTGTCTCCGCTCCTCGTCTGGTCTCGTCTGGACCTCAGAGCTCACGTCCTAGTCCCAGATCAGACCGGAGCTCAGGGGGCGGGGCTAAAGACAGAAGGCGGGGGGGGGGGGGGGGGCTGATATATTCTGATGTATGGACTAAAGAGAAGTTTGATCCAACACCAGACCAAAGCATCAAAACTGTGACTGACTTTATTTCGAGTCTACAACATTCAGTTTGTGTTCAAAGAAACGTGTTTACTTACTTATCTTTCATTTGGTTTAAAGTTATCATTTTTGAAAATAGCCTCATGTGACATTTCTTGACCCTGAAGCAGTGAAATAAAAACCTTAATAATAATAATAATAATAATGCATCAGTTTTATAAAGCGTTTTTTTGGACAGACTCGGTGGTGGAAAACTACTATTGTAGCCACAGCCGCCCTGGGGCAGACTGACAGAAGTGAGGCTGCCAGTCTGCGACATCGGCCCCTTGGACCAGAGTTGGGGACTTGCGAGTCGTGACTTGGACTCGAGTCAGACTTGAGTCACTATTTTTAGGACTTGGACTTGACTTGATAAAATGGACTAAGACTTGGGACTTGACTTGGACTTGAAGGTCAGTGACTTGGGACTTGACTTGGACTTGAAGGTCACTGACTTGGGACTTGACTCGGACTTGAAGGTCACTGACTTGGGACTTGATTTGAACTTGAAGGTCAGTGACTTGGGACTTGACTCGGACTTGAAGGTCACTGACTTGGGACTTGACTTGATAAAATGGACTAAGACTTGGGACTTGACTCGGACTTGAAGGTCAGTGACTTGGGACTTGACTCGGACTTGAAGATCACTGACTTGGGACTTGACTTGATAAAATGGACTAAGACTTGGGACTTGACTCGGACTTGAAGGTCACTGACTTGGGACTTGACTTGATAAAATGGACTAAGACTTGGGATTTGACTCGGACTTGAAGGTCACTGACTTGGGACTTGACTCGGACTTGAAGGTCACTGACTTGGGACTTGACTCGGACTTGAAGGTTACTGACTTGGGACTTAACTCGGACTTGAAGGTCACTGACTTGGGACTTGACTTGGACTTGAAGGTCACTGACTTGGGACTTGACTTGATAAAATGGACTAAGACTTGGGACTTGACTCGGACTTGAAGGTCACTGACTTGGGACTCGACTCGGACTTGAAGGTCACTGACTTGGACTTGACTTGATAAAATGGACTAAGACTTGGGACTTGACTCGGACTTGAAGGTCAGTGACTTGGACTTGACTTGATAAAATGAACTAAGACTTGGGACTTGACTCGGACTTGAAGGTCACTGACTTGGGACTTGACTCGGACTTGAAGGTCACTGACTTGGGACTTGACTTGGACTTGAAGGTCAGTGACTTGGGACTTGACTCGGACTTGAAGGTCACAGACTTGGGACTTGAATCGAACTTGAAGGTGACTGACTTGGGACTTGACTCGGACTTGAAGGTCACTGACTTGGGACTTGACTTGGACTTGAAGGTCAGTGACTTGGGACTTGACTCGGACTTGAAGGTCACAGACTTGGGACTTGAATTGAACTTGAAGGTGACTGACTTGGGACTTGACTCGGACTTGAAGGTCACTGACTTGGGACTTGACTTGGACTTGAAGGTCAGTGACTTGGGACTTGACTTGGACTTGAAGGTCACTGACTTGGGACTTGACTCGGACTTGAAGGTCACAGACTTGGGACTTGAATCAAACTTGAAGGTGACTGACTTGGGACTTGACTCGGACTTGAAGGTCACTGACTTGGGACTTGACTCGGACTTGAAGGTCACTGACTTGGGACTTGACTTGGACTTGAAGGTCAGTGACTTGGGACTTGACTTGGACTTGAAGGTCACTGACTTGGGACTTGACTTGATAAAATGGACTAAGACTTGGGACTTGACTCGGACTTGAAGGTGACTGACTTGGGACTTGACTCGGACTTGAAGGTGACTGACTTGGACTTGGACTTGACTTGGACTTGAAGGTCACTGACTTGGGACTTGACTCGGACTTGAAGGTCACTGACTTGGGACTTGACTTGGACTTGAAGGTCTTGGACTGACTTGGGACTTGGGACTTGACTTGACTTAAAATGGACTAAGATTTGGGACTTGACTCGGACTTGAAGGTCAGTGACTTGGGACTTGACTCGGACTTGAAGGTCAGTGACTTGGGACTTGACTCGGACTTGAAGGTCACTGACTTGGGACTTGACTCGGACTTGAAGGTCAGTGATTTGGGACTTGACTTGGACTTGAAGGTCACAGACTTGGGACTTGACTTGGACTTGAAGGTCAGTGACTTGGGACTTGACTTGGACTTGAAGGTCACTGACTTGGGACTTGACTTGGACTTGAAGGTCACTGACTTGGGACTTGACTTGGACTTGAAGGTCAGTGACTTGGGACTTGACTTGGACTTGAAGGTCAGTGACTTGGGACTTGACTTGAGGCCTGTGACTTGAGAAGACTTGATGCGTCTCCTAAAAAAATATGTTTTTAGAAAATACTTTTCTCTTTACAGTTGGTACATGCAGTGTTTAATTTGACAGGAACAAACTGGAACATGTCCCTCCCACTTCTCTGTTTGGTACTTCAGATGGAACTGAAGTACTGTGAAGTACTGTGAAGTACTGTGAAGTACTGTGAAGTACTGTGAAGTACTGTGAAGTACTGTGAAGTACTGTGAAGTGGTGTCCTCAAATGTACTACAGTAATATATAGTACAGTACAGTACAATACAGTAATATACAGTAAAACAAGGAACATAGAACAGGCATGTCCCAAACTATGGTCCGCGGGCCAAATGCGGCCCTCAGACAAATGTTTCTTGTCCCTCAGGCTTTCAGGTAAATTGGCCCAAAGTACCTTGTATCAATTTAAATACTTTTTACTGCAAGTATTTTGAAAATCCACCTTGATAAAGCTGATATTTAATATTTAGTGTGTGGTTTTAAAGATCTTAGCATGAATAAAGACTGATGACTCATTCTAACGTGTTAAACATGCACATGTTTCAGTTATTCACGGTCCTCGATCGTCCCTCTGCTTCATCTGTGTTTAGACATGTGGCCCTTGTTTGGACACCGCTGACATAAACCACGATCCTTCCATTTCAGTGCAGACGACATGACAAAATCACTGTTATTAAGCTTTTAAATCTGAATTCTTTCTGTTCTGCCGTTAATGATTTGCATTAAGATCTTGTCAAAACATTTAACAAAGATAAAAATATTGCATTTCTACAACTCTTATACAAATATAGAATGAGTTTTAAAGTACAATTTAGTTTAAAATTAATATAAATTGCAAAAATCTGTTTTAAGGTTGGTTTAAAGACTTGAAATGACTTGAAGCTCAAAGCAGACGACTTGGACTTGACTTGGACTTATGGGCCAGTGACTCGAGACTTGACTTGGACTTGACTTGGGACTTGACTGGGACTTGAGGTCGAAGACTTGAGACTCACTTGACACTTGCAAAACAACGACTTGGTCCCACCTCGTCTTTGCACCATGATGAAGTCTTCAGAATCAAAAACGTAGAAAAGTGGTAAAACTAAAGATTTCTTTCTTGGAATTGTGTCATTCTTTAACAGGGTTTGGTGTTATAAATATTTTTACTTCAGCCTTAACCCTTTCGGTCATGATCCATGCGGTTGTCGTTTATGTTTTGTTCTGTTTTGTTTTGTAGTGCTGCAAAATGATCAAATAAACTACTACTAGTACTAAAAGAAATAACACTGAATTAAAATTGTAGTAGTAAATTTGAACAAAACAGAATATTATTTGTAAAATACTGAAACATATTTGATCACAATTGTTTAGTCTTTTGGTAAATGAGTTGAGAAGAGTTTACAGAATAGATATACAAATGTAAAAGGGCAAAAACATGACAAAAACATGTACCACAGTGTTTTGTTTTGGGGTTTTTTTGAGTTTTTTAATGACCGTATTTCCTCCAGCGCACCTGTCGCCCAGTCAGGTAAATACAAGAATCACAGAAATTAGTATTTTTCTTTCATTGGTACGACGTTTCGGTCCCTCAGAGCTTCTTCCCTCGAGGAAAAATCAAAAGAGAAACACTGTGCGTCACTGAGTTTTCTTTAAAAACACTCCCATAATGACCAGCCTTGTTTTCTGATTCAGTTTCTTATTTCTTTTCAAAACATAATAAAATGATTCAGTACTGATTTCCTAAACAATACACAAAACAATACAGACTTTAAATCAAAACCATTTAACACAAGAGATGATTTCTTCCATCAAAATCCAAACTCTTGATTCTCGATTAAGTTAAAACACATTTTTATACAGCGCTTTTCCACCTTCAAGACTCAAAGCTCTTTACAACGAGGAATTACTCCCCTATTGTCCAGAGTACGCAGAAACCGGGGGCGAGGGGGGGGTTAAGTGTCTTGCGCAAGGACACAGTGACAGTATTTATGTATAAAGCTGTTATTTTTATGAATGAATGATTGGAAAATTGGAAATCTTCCCCATCCGTACATTACAAACAAACAATACAATACACGGGGATGACAATGTCGACCGGACCCGGAGACAGGCAGCAATTATATTTATTAATTATCTTTCTATTTTATTTAATTTTTTTATATTTTATTTTATTACTTATCTTTAGATTTTTATTTTTTATTATTTATCTTAATATTTTTTATTACTTATCTTTCTATTTTATTTTTTATTTTTATATTTTATTTTATTACTTATCTTTAGATTTTTATTTTTTATTACTTATCTTAATATTTTTATTTTTTATTGCTTATCTTTATATTTTACATTTTTATATTTTATTTTATTATTACTTATCTATTTTTATTTTTTATTACTTATCTTTTCTATTTTATTTTTTATTTTTTATATTTATTTTATTACTTATCTTTACATTTTATTTTTTTATTACTTATCTTAATATTAAAATTTGTATTACTTATTTTTCTATTTTAGTTTAGATTTTTATATTTTATTTTATT